GTATAAAGAGTAACCAAACATTTGGATTGGGTGGAAGCAATAGTCAATATTGTAATAACTATGTATAGTGTCAGGTGGGTACTGGAAATATCAGGGAAACACTTTGTAAACTATATGATTGTCTAACCACTTACTAATACAAAATAATATTGAATATAAACTATAATTTAAAAAAATTTAAAGTAGAAAAAATTAGTCATTCAGTAAAAATTGGTTGAATAACCCTGAACTAATAAAATTTAAAAAAAAAAAGAAAAGAAAAAGATGAAATTAATTGGTTCTCATTTTCCCCAGTTCTCTGTGACTTCTTTTTGTTTGTTTTTGGTGGTGATGGTGGTGTGTGTGTGTGTTAATCCTCACCCAAGGATATATTTTTTCTTTTTTTTCTTTTCTTTTTTTTTTTTAGAGTAGAAGGGAGGGGAAAGACAGATAGAGAGACAGATAGAAACATCGATGTGAGAGAGACACATGGATTGGTATCCTTGACTGGAATCAAACGAGGGGCCCTTCAGTCCAAGGGCTGATGCTCTATCCACTGAACCAAACTGGCTAGACCAGTCGTTGGCAAACCGCGGCTCCCAAGCCACATGCGGCTCTTTGGCCCCTTGAGTGTGGCTCTTCCACAAAATACCACGTAGGGGCACGCACGTACAGTGCGATTGAAACTTCGTGGCCCATGCGCAGAAGTCGGTTTTCGGAAAGGAGATAGACGAAACAAGTATACAAGATGAGTGTGGATAAGAGAGTTGGAAGGGGTCGACCTCAGCGAATGTACCTCAATCTGATTGAGGACGTTTTTAGCAAAGGCCAGCTTAGGAGTACCCTAATTAAGTTAATAACAATGTACCTACCTATATAGTTTAAGTTTAAAAAAATTTGGCTCTCAAAAGGAATTTCAATCGTTGTACTGTTGATATTTGACTCTGTTGACTAATGGGTTTGCCGACCACTGGGCTAGACTGTTATTGGGGCGGAGGGGGGGCGGGGGTTAAGCACAAGTAGAAGAGAGAGGAGGGGAGAGGAAAGGAAGGAAAAGGAGGAGAGAAGAGATAGATTTTGGAAGCAGAGTTTACTGTCATCTCTTTTTTAGGGATTCGCCACCTACATCTTTATAATAGAGATTGAAAAAAATCCAACAGTAAAGAAACTCATTTTATTTCATCTAGCATTTCCCATAAATTTTTAAGGAATCTGTATTTAATGGAAAATACTCTTCTATGCCTACCTCATCTTGCTGAATAGAAAACTTTAGTAACTGATGACACATTCTTTGACAGTTACACAATTAACCTGGTGTCATGAGCTTACCTTGATTTTTAATCTTTGAAACCACCATAAAAAATAATGCTGTTCTGATCAATTTTTCTGCTTTACACTCTTCACCCATAGGTACTTTTGTCACAATTCTTAAAATCCTTCCACACGTGTGACACCTCTTCACATGTGAAGAGAATCAACCAGCCAGAGGTTCACTTTAGTATATCATCAAGGAAATTAACAACCTCTAAGGTGCAGTATTTTGATTTTCTTGTTCTGCAACAAGACTATATCAGAATTCACAAAAGTAAATTTGGGACACAGTACTTAAGTCCATTTATTTTTAAATATAAATGGTTTGAAGAGATTTTTCCCCCCTCGGTGTAGTCTTTTATTTATTTTTTTATCTTTATTGTTGAATGTATTACATATGTCCCCTTTCCCTTCACTGATCTCTCTCAGCCCACCCCACCCCCTCACCCAGGCCTTCACCACCCTATTGTCTGTGTCCATGGGTTATGCATATATGCACACAAGTTCATTGGTTGATCTCTTCTCACCCACCCACCCTCCCATGCCTTCCCTCTGAGGGTTGACCGTCTGTTCGATGCTTCTATGTCTCTGGATCTATTTTTGTTCATCAGTTTACGTTGTTCATTAGATTCCACATATGAGTGAGATCATGTGATACCTATCTTTCTCTGACTGACTTATTTTGTTTAGCATAATGCTCTCTAGGTCCATCCATTCTGTTGCAAATAGTAACAGTTCTTTCTTTTTTCTATTGTATAGATGTACCACAGTTTTTTAATCCACTGATCTGCTGATGGGCACTTAAGCTGTTTCCAAATCTTAGCTATTGTAAATTGTGCTGCTATGAACATATGGGGTGCATATATCCTTTCTGATTGGTGTTTCTGATTTCTTGGGATATATTCCTAGAAGTGGGATCACTGGGTCAAATGGCAGATCCATTTTTAGTTTTTTGAGGAAACTCCATTCTGTTTTCCACAGTGGCTGCACCAGTCTGCATTCCCACCAGCAGTGCCCAAGGGTTCCTTTTTCTCCACATCCTCGCCAGCTCTTGTCATTTGCTGATTTGTTGATAATAGCCACTCTGACAGGTGTAAGGTGGTATCTCATTGTTGTTTTGATTTGCATCTCTCTGATGATTAGTGACTTTGAGCATTTTTTCATATGCCTTTTGGCCTTCTGCATGTCCACTTTGGAGAAGTGTCTATTTAGGCCCTTTGCCCATTTTTTAATTGGATTGTTTATCTTCCTTTTTTTAAGTTGTATGAGTTCCCTATAAATTTTGGAGATTAACCCCTTATCAGATGTATCATTGGCAAATATGTTCTCACATACAGTGGACCCTCATTATTTTGTATAGTTGATGGTTTCCTTTGCTGTGCAGAAGCTTTTCCATGGTGTAGTCTTATTATTGACCAAGGTTCATTGGCTTCTGGGGCCAGTAAAGAACCAGCCAAAATGCTAATAGATGTACTAAGGACTCTGTGGCCAGGTGTATCCACCTGCAGGTTCAGCTTTACTCCAATTGGATTCTAAACCTGAATGCACATTCAAATAACTTGAGAAACTAAAAATAATAACATCTGGCTGCCATAGTTAAATCAGAACCATTGGGAGGTGGGGCTTGGATATTGTTTTTAATTTTTTTTAAATTTCCTACCTAAATTCTAATTCGTAGGCCATTTTTTCTTTCTTATTGAATTTATTGGGGTGACATTGGTTAATAAAATTATATACGTTTCAGGTGTACAATTCTACAATACATCATCTAAGTCAAGTCACCTTCCATCACCATATATTCCCCCTTTACTTTCTTCTACCTCTCTCCACCACCCCCTTCCCTCTGACAATCTATACTGTTGTCTGTGTCCATGAGTCTTTCTTTTTTTTCTTTAATTCCTTCACCTTTCTCACCCAGCCCCCAAACCCTCCCCTCTGACAACTATCAGTCTATTCTCTGTATCTATGAGTCTGTCTCCACTTCGTTTGTTAATTTATTTCATTTCCTAGCCAGAGGTTCAGTTTAGTATATCATCAAAGGAAATTAACAACCTCTAAGGTGCAGCATTTTGTGGAACTCAACATCCAGCCAACTTGCTTTTAATCCTATGTTCAACTTCTAGAACTCTCTCTTTTCTGCCTTATTTCTTGATTCAATTCATCCTTTCTACCCCCAAATTCAATTATCCTCCCCAGACTTTAAAATGATAATTTTAGAGTGGTTCTGCGTAGTGGCAATCTCCCCAGAACCTAACTGCTTCTGAGCTGTATTATTGTCTTGCTTCACAGTTTTTCCAGAAAGCAACCACTAACCCAACATATTCTGTGATTCCTGCCCAGACCTCTCTACTCTCCATGATTCTGGAAGGAGGAAGCCCCTCCATTCAGACTCCATAGAGCTGGCCTTGCTGAGGGTGCATGCCACCTCGTACTTACCTTTGCATTCCTTACAGGAAGTTCCCACAGTGCTTGTACATTTTAGATAATTACAAAATATCTTGAACCAGTGAATAATTTAATAGTCTATTATTTTTCCTTTATAAAGAAACTTCAGAATAGTTAAAATTGCTATTGAAATGGAAGACAGGAGACCCAGGTTCTAATCCTGCCTTTCCACTAATTAGTTCTAAGTTCTTTGAAAATCCATTAACCTGAGCTCTGTGCTTCAGATTCTTCATCTGTTAAATAGGAATAATACAATCTATTCACCGGGCTTGCATAACTGTGTTGAAAGAGTTATGAATACTGTATATATGTTACCATTACACCTGTTCCCTCTACTATAGGGGGCTTTGGTTTTTGTGTGAACCGAAAGCTGCCATTGAATCAAAAGCTAAGGCCAGGGAGAGAATGATTTGGCACCATGTTGATACTACAAATATGATCAGTTCTAGGCAAAGTGAAGTTAGAAAACGTGGTCACCTGTCTATACTCATTCTCTTCATTGATTATGCTCTTGTCAAGGAAGTCAGTGCTTTTATACTACTCTTTCTTATAGGAAAGCAATCTGAACAATTTATTTGGATGAAGTTTCTAGGGACTCAGTGGTGCTAAAAAATTTTTAACTAAGATTTGAAGATCTAACTGACTTTATTCAATGATTCATGAATTGGACAGCATTCCATCTGGCAAGTAGAAAAGAGCTCCGAGGAGTTGCTCAAAATTGAAAGCTTTTGTAGTCAGAATGGAGCAGAAAAGGGAAATTTCTAACGAAGAGGGGATTGTTTCAGGCTAAGTCACCTTTCTTTGAGGAAAGGTGGGGGCTACCATGCAGAGGATCACATTCCTGGAAGAGGCTGAAACTGCAGTTTAAGTCTTGGTTTGCTGAGGAGGGGCTTAGCACAAATGACCCCATTTGGGGTCTGTTGCTTTTCTTTTTTTAACAGTATGTTTAATTTATGAAGAAGTCTATAGTTAACCTGAAAAATAAAACCTTAATTGTGAAATTTCAGCTATTAAGACAAACCGAGGAAATTTTATTAGCCCCTTTACCTTTATATCTCTTTTATTACATGCAAACACTAGGAGATAAAGATATAGACCTATTAAAGTAGACTTGCACTGGTCATGTTAGCAGGTGGTGTGGGCTCTTGATTCTTGACTATTTGCAGGAAATATTTCACAACACAAGTCCAGGTGATTTTGAGAGTACATTTCTTAAAGCTGGGGACAGTGAAGCAAAGGAAGGGTTTAAGATAGAAAAGGCACAACCGCACAGCCCGTCGCTCTGATCCTGCAGCAAACGCCCAACCCGAGCTTGAGCCGCTGGCGCCATGGCGGCAATGCACGCGCTGTCCGAGCTGTATGAAGAGAGCAATGACCTGCAGATGGATGTGATGTGGGGCGAGGGTGACCTTCCGCGGATGGAGGTAGGCAGCGGGAACCAGGAGCCGCCCCGAACCACCCCCGCAACCGGCCACGCCTCAGCCCGAGAAGGAAGGCCTGATGGCGAGGCAGTGGGGGACCGAGACCTTGCAGGCCGGCCCAGCCCCAGGGAGCTGCCAGGCCTGTTTGCTGGCCCTGACTTTGAAGCTGAGGAATTTGATGACTGGGAGGACGACTACGACTATCCGACTATAGGGAGGAGGCGCAGCGGCATGGTGCAGGGTACAGGGCATCCGTGACCCTGGATGAAGTCAACAAGATATTTCTGAGAACATCCAGTGCTGGAGAGGCGGCCGTGGATGGCAGTTTTCAGATGCATTAGGAGAAGACCCCGTTTGATCAGTTGGCTTTTATCGAAGAGCTTTTTTCACTTATGGTTGTCAATCGTCTGACCGAAGAACTCAGCTGTGATGAGATTATTGACAAAGAGTAGTTAAATGCGGTTAAAGAGGAGGAAACTACTTGAAGAGAGACCCAGCATTCCACTGTCTCTTGGGTTTATTCCAAATAGTTCTGTGCCAATGAAAAACTTGATCTTCAAAAAAAATTTTTTTTGGTTTTGTTTTTCAGAATAGAATAGGGCAGTGACTGCACAGTTGTGACAAAGAAAAAAAGCTGTTAAAGGAAAAGGATCTTAGGACTGTTGAAACCTGTTTATCCTGAAACACGTATGGCTTTGACTTTGTGATTGATCCAGATTATCTTCTTTGCATTGGGAAAAATTACTTCCATATCCACTGTACTGAATGGTTTTGCAAGAATGCATCATGACCAAGACAAACTGCCAGCCAGTTCAAGAGCCCACTGATACTAATTACGTGAGAAAAAGAATGTACCCAACGTAGGACACCAGATGTCTTTTGAGTTTATTGGACAGAAAGCCTCTTGAGAAAACTTTGAAGATTCCACTTTGTGATCTATTCAAGCTACAGGTATCAAAGGCTAAATTTTCAGTGTATACTAATAAGGTGAATATTCTTAGTATCCCAAAAGTATAAGCAAACTCCAGAAGAAATATGTGTACTACATCTTAACATGTTTCCCAGGGCATCTGAAATTTTATTTGTACATGTATCTTGATCATTTATAAAGCTATTGTGATCTGTAATTCAAGAAAATTCATTATCTTGACCATTATTTTTAAAAGTAAAAAATGAAGAAATCCTCAGTAAATTTTCAAATTCAGACATTAAAATGTATGTAAAAGTATAAAGAAAACTATTTCTAATACCTTCATATCCTAGAGAAATTTTGTCTTACCTTTGACTTTACAGGGAAAAGACTGGTGGGGACTTCATCATGAAAGAACTGTTAAGTGAAAATTGTCAAGTAAAAGAAAGGCCCTACATTTAAAAAAGACTTTATGGACAGTTATGCCATCAACCTCTAAAGGTTTCAAACCTATCCAGAAATGTCTGAAGTTTCCCTCTGTCTCCTCCTCTAATTAAGCTTGTTGGTTATACACCAGCATTTGAGATAATAAAATTTCTTGTTCTGTGTAAAAAACAAAACAAAACAAAAAAGATAGAAAAGGCAAGCTCATAGCAACAGGAGTGAGCCTAGACAGAGCTACCTTGGTCCTTTTGAAATGTGAGGAAGAGTTGAGCCTAGGGTGGCTGCCTTGACCCTTTACAAAAAAAGTCATTGAAGCAGAAGAAGTGAGCCAGCTGGGCTGTGTAGACTCAGGAAACAAGTTAACAAGGCAAAAGGAGGACCCTGGAGAAATAAAGCAAAGATACACAACTTAGGAAAGAAGTGGTGGGGGAGAAGGCATGGGTGTGCTCTTGAGAGAGAAAGAATGTGCCCTGTGATACGGAATTTTTGGACTGGAACACACAGTGTTCCCCTGGGCAGGATGTCCCGGATTCTTTGTCCGCCAGAGTCAAAGAATGAATCCGTGGACAGAAGGTGGTATAGCAAGGTGGAAATTTATTAAAGAACAAGTACAGACTCCCACGTGGGGAGGGGGAAAGAGTCCCACTGAGTTCCTTTTCCCTACAGCTTATAAAGGCTACAGATCTTGGTGCCTTGGTATCCCTTCTGATTGGTCACTATTCCCTTGGACTGGTTACTATAGTAACTCCTGGGCTCAAACAGTCAAACCTTACATGGGACATGTGAGGGTCTACCCCTTCCTTACTGTTTTCCTAATCACTTTGGGCTTTCTTCTTCTTCTTCTGGATAAAGGGCTTCCTTCTCTTTATTTTGTAAATATAGACCTTTTGCTGTTCCCAGCTCCCTCATTCTATGGAAATGTACCTGTTGCAGCTTTTCAGCTTCCCTATTATATGGAAATACACCTTCTATTGCTCTGCAGCCCTGTGCTTCCTCATGGTCCCCTTAATTTCTAAAATTTCTAAAATTTACTAAAACCTGTCCTATTTTACCCCTAAAATTCCTGTTTCAGTCTCCCCTCCAATTAGGGAACCCCAACTGCCATTGGGAACAATGGACGTCGATTTGTCTGGCTGCTTCTTGCTGGCAAAGGGGTCGTAGTTTGGGAGCGGCAGTCAGGGTCCCATCGGAAGTGGGCTAACTAAGGGTCCACGGATGATGGATGCAGTGGCCTTCGTCTGCGGTTCTATGCGGAGGACCATTTGTATCTTTAGGGCTTCTAAATGGGAGGATATGAAACATAACAAAGGTTACTGGTAAACAAGTAATGGTTAAAGAGTAATAATAAAACAATATAAACCAAGGTCTGAGGAGGAGAGCTAGTTAATAGAGATGGCATTATATCTTAAATTGGTGCCCAGACTTCTGGGGCAAGAGGCTTTGAGACTTTGTTTTTAGCTAAGCTGCTTGCAGCAAGAAGTGTTATTCATGGCACAGACTTTGCCCTGCTCAATCAAGGGCTTCTTTGTGAATAAAAATCTATAGAGGCTTGAGAAGTGGTTCTGGTTGGTGGTAGTGGCAGCATACGTTGTTCTATAGACCAAGATTTAGCACATTTTATTTTATTTTATTTTTAATATATTTTATTGATTTTTTACAGAGAGGAAGGGAGAGGAATAGAGAGTTAGAAACATTGATGAGAGAGAAACATCGATCAGCTGCCTCCTGCACACCCCCCACTGGGGATGTGCCCACAACCAAGGTACATGCCCTTGACCGGAATCGAACCCGGGACCCTTCAGTCCGCAGGCCGACGCTCTATCCGCTGAGCCAAACCGGTTAGGGCGGCACATTTTATTTTAAAACAGATGTGGGAGAGAGATTATTTGACTCTGAATTGGGCTGCTTATAACATACTTAGTAGTTAGGGATTTGGGGAGCCAGTATGGCTTCAGAAATTTAGTATACCAGGGTTACAGAGAGGGGCTATAAATAGGAACATTTTATGGTGTTTCCGGGTCCCAATAAGGATAGAGAAGGTCTCCTCTAGGTACCACCCTAGGATTCAGGTGACACTTATAAAAAGACAGAGTAAGAATTATTTTAAAAATGAAAACATTGATTATTTAGAAATATCAGAGTATGTTACTTATTTGGCATTTATTGACTTTTCAAGATTCCTTTGAAAGAGAAGTTTAGGTCCTCTAGAGCAGCAGTTCTCAACCTGTGGGTCGCGACCCCTTTGGGGGTCGAATGACCCTTTCACAGGGGTTGCCTGAGACCATCGGAAAACACATATATAATTACATATTGTTTTTGTGATTAATCACTATGCTTTAATTATGTTCAATTTGTAACAATGAAAATACATCCTGCATATCAGATATTTACATTATGATTCATAACGATAGCAAAATTACAGTTATGAAGTAGCAACGAAAATAATTTTATGGTTGGGGGTCACCACAACATGAGGAACTGTATTAAAGGGTCGCGGCATTAGGAAGGTTGAGAACCACTGCTCTAGAGGCTTACATAAGTAGAACTTTGGTGATTTAGTTGATGGCTATGCAGCTTCATCCTCCTTTTGTGCTGGTATTCAAGGCTCACTTGAGACAGAGGGATTTAGGAGTTGATGCTGCTGACCTGTGGAGGGACTTAAAGACACAGTGCCTGTAAAAGGGCTTTTTGAGTTGTTTAAATGCCTGCCCAAACAAATGAGGGTTATTTCCGAAAACTTTGGGGCAGCATTGTCCATGTTAGTTGATGGCTTTGATTATTGGGATTTTTTTTTAAGGCAAATAGAAACTGTGAATTAGGAGGCAGGGGTATACAGAAAAAGGCATCCTTGAGATTTAGTACTGCAAACCACTTTGTGTCCTCTGGAGTCAGGGCAAGTAAAGCATGAGGGTTAGAGACAATTGGTTGGATAGCAATCATTGCCTTATTTACTAGTTATAAGAACTAGTCCTTCCCCTTTATTTGGAATTCCTAAGATGGGGGTATTGTAAGAACTATGACAAGGTTTCAATAAACCTTGGGCCTTTTAAAATAGATGACTTATTAGGATATTGAGTCCTTCTAGAGCAGTGGTTCTCAACCTTGGCTGCACATTAGAATCACCTGGGAATCTTTTTAAAATCCTGATTTCTGGGCCTCATTGGATGGCCCAATCAGGATTTTAAAAAGATTCCCAGGTGATTCTAATGTGCAGCCAAGGTTGAGAACCACTGTTCTAGAGCCTCATGGTTGAGAGGATAGTGTTTCTGATGTGAATATAAGGCTTTTTGCAGGATCAGGAAGGCATGGGAAAGGAACAACTTACCCCAGCTGTGCCCTAAAGGCTGGGAAAAGATTTCTTTTTTGGGTTCCCAGACATGCCTGTAATGGCTACAGCCTTTGAGGATGATTTGCCATATTGAGAAGGCTTGAATGAGGTTTTGGAAGACTTCGCAGAGAAGGTGGCTACTGAGGAAATTAATTCCCTTGCCTTCTACTCTCAGGCTTACCCGGAGCTCCAGGGTGGAGATGGTAGTCCTTTGAGGAACCAGGTTGGGAGACCCCAAGCCTCGCTAGCCCTATTGGGCCAGCTGGGTCACCAGCCCCGCCCCAAGGGACCTCTTTCTCCAGGGGCAGTCCGACTTCCAGTGGTTTTCTTGACAGGCAGAACAGGGCTTCAGGAATCCACCACACCCCGTGGGGCAACTTCGGCACATAAGTCCAACCTGTCTACAATTGTAGCAGGTGACAGGGACTGACCTTTTGCCTCCAGGCTCTGACTGAGGTTCTTGCCTTGCTAAAGCCTGGCACAAAGAGCCTTGGTTCTGGCCTGGCTTGTCCTGTTTTTGTTTTATTTTGTTTTGTTTTCCTTATTCTGGTTTTTATTATAGAACATAGAGGTGGTAACTTTCAGGAGGTTTTTTTCTGAAGTATTTTTGGGACCAATAGCCAATTTTTGTAACCTTCTGATATCTGGGGTAGCTTAAGTCAGCAGTCACCAACCATTGGTCCATGAGGTCTGAAAGGTTGGCGACCACTGGTTTAAGGAAACCTTTGGAGCAATGGTCACCAACTGGTGGTCCATGAGGTCTGAAAGGTTGGCGACCACTGGCCTAAGTGATAAATTCGTCCTTTAAAATTAGTCGTCCCAATTCTGTTACCAATCTGGGGTAATGTTGGTATGCTTAACCAAACACCTCCTTGAATCTTCCAAAAAGACCAAGGGGTTTTCATTAGCCCCTTGATTAATGGTGCTTAATTTAGAGTAATT